ACACACAGCTAGATACATGCCATGTGCACCACATAACTTGTCAGGGTGGCTGTTGTGGATGCCCTGGCACAATAGGGATGCCTGCCCTTTCAGCAATGCCTCTCCCATTTCGGCTGCCAGCTTGTCCTCTCTTGACCACCCGATCCAGATGTGTGGAGTCTGATGGATTCAGGTTGGAGTTTCAGCCCTCTCAGTTACTAGCTGTGTTGTGGTGAACAAGTCTGCCCATCTAGGAAATGGCTTTAGCAATATGAACCGCATAAGGCTATTTGAAAAACTTACAGATTTTGCATGCAAGTTAGCAGAGAGCCTGATGCATCAGGAGCCCAACGGAGAGCTGCTTCTCAATATTCATCATACATTAGGAATCATAATTCTTCCCCAGCTCACAAGGGAAACAGCTTTTCCCTGATCTTTCTTCTCTTTGGGAGGTGTGATTCTGGATGCAGGGACTATATCTGATGCAGTTTCAGGAGCAACATGGCCTCCCACAGGGGACTGCGGAGCAGAACCTCTGAGGCTTTGCCCAAAAGAAGGAGATTGGCTGTGGTTGAGCTTACTTACATGCTGGCTCTAGAGTGTTTTCTAGCTGAAGGAAAAAATATCTGGCTTCCAGATCATACAAGCAAGGGGACATGCACAGGTTGCCTTGAGAACCCTGTGCTGGAAGCTTTTCTGGGCTTCGCCTCCATCTCCTCCACATGAAACAATATAAGTGTGACAATAATGGCTTCACAGGCCATGGGAGAGACACCGTGGGCAGTGCTTAGGAAATGGGAGTGGGGAGGTCCTGGATAAAGTACAAATGACAGTGGCTAGAGCCCCTAAAGTGGAGAGTGGAGGGAGCAGCCAAGCTTTCTCCACAGATCAGGGCTTACTTTGGGGGAGCAGGAAGTGGAATGGCCCCCAGTGATTACCAGGAAAGAGAGAGAAAGGAGGTCGACCGTTCCATATATCTTGGGGCCCAGACTCAGTGAAATTCAAACTTCTGGCAGGTGACATGTGCTGTCTGAAGAATAGAGTCTCTGCCCAGGCCTCTTGGGAGTCTTTTTATCTGTGAGAAAGCAGCTCCCAGGCTGGAAGGTAGGATGGAGCCCTTCCGGAAGGCACTGATCTCCCAGCTGCTCCTCAGACCTCCTCTGTCTCTTGCATATACTTATGCCAAGGGGACTGGTGATTCAGCCCTGGGATGGACATAGCCCCTTGGGACTGGAGAGTTGAATATTTATCAGTTGGATTGTTGTGGAATCAGGGCACTCTGAACTCCAGGACTTTTATTTTTTCCCAAATGATCTTGGTGACTGTGTGCCGTGGCTCTCCCTGGCCCAATGTCTAGTCTGTGGTGTTTTTCCTTGCTCAGATAGTGTTTCACAGAGGCAGGTTTGGTAAAATGTATTTCCGTTCTGATAAAATATATTAAAATATATTTCCATTCTAAATAAGTTGGTGCCTGTTTTGAATTAATCACCTTGATGCACAGTAATTAGGTATAGATGCATCAACAAGAGAGTTTTTTCTTTCAGGAAGGAGGTACTAATTCTATTTATTATAGTATAGTGGCATATACTATGGGCCTGAAGATTTTCCCCTAAATGAGACTTCCACTTTCTAAAATGATCCTCCCTAAATTATCTAGAAGTGGCTTTAGCAGTTTAGAAAATTTGAGCATGCACAACTAGAGAATTCTCTTACTTCCCCAGAATCCAAGCAGATGCCAAGTAAAACAAAAGTACGTGAGCCTTTCAGCCAATGCCTGGCAGTGGAGACTTGGAGAGATAACTGTGGCCTCAGAGGACTGCAGTCCAGCTTCAAAGACTGCTTTGCTAACTTTGGGACAGGAACTCTTGAGATATTTTTTTGATTCCTCTTCTCTAGATCTCTCTCTCCTCTCTCTGTCTCGCTCCCTCCCCTTCTCTTCCTACCCTTCTTTCTCTTTTCATCTCTCTCTATTCTTCCATCTCTTCTTCCCTTTCTCTCCTCATTCATTTCCTCTCTCTCTCTCTCCCTTCTCTTTCTTTATTCATCTGTCCTTCTCTCACCCTCACTCTCTTTCCTTCTCTCCTTGCTCCTGCTTCCCTTCCCTTCCACTCCCTGTATCTCTCACTGGGTATCCCTCTTCTCTCTGCCTCCCTTCCCCCGGTTCTGCCTGATTCATTTGTATCTAGGGATCATTATTTGTGCACACTAAAACCTTTCTTTGCCTTTCTTTGCCTTCTTTCTGGTCTATCCTCAAAAGGTTTTATATCCAATAAAGGAATTTTTTTTTTGCCTCACCTGCTGCAGTCATCACATCCTTTGTCTGGAGAATTCTGACACCACTGCTGTGTTTAAGTACCTACACTTACAACTCAACTGAGGCAGGGAGACTTCAGCGATTCCACCTGACTCTTCTTTGCAGAGTTTGGTAGAATAAAACAAGGGACTTCCTTGTTTTGAATAAAAATAGTGAGGTTGTGTTTTGTGGTGCAGGACTCAAAATTAGTCTTTGCATTTCCCCAAGGGCCAGTAATTAATCATAGAAGTATTTGGGTGGGCAAGATATTTTTTAAAAAAACCTTTTAGGTTGCCTAACTAATCAATAGATAAGCCATAAAACACACTCTCCTGAACCTGAAAATATTTGTAATTCCAATTGCGTTTCTAGACCTATGGTTTTCAGAGCGTGGTCCCTGGACCGACATCAGCATTACCTGGGAACTTAAATATTAGGAATACTAACTCTTGAGCTCTGCCCCATATGAACTGAATCAGAAACTAGGGTTGGGCCCAGCAGCCTATATTTAACAAATCCTCCAAATGATTCTGATGTGCACTGAACTTTGGGAATCCCTGCTTCAGAGCGAAGATCGATCGCCTTTAAGCCGGTGTCTGCAATGTTAGAAGCAAAGTTCTTATACGAGATGTTGGCGAAAACGTATGAAATAAACGGAAATCAGAAAACATGGGTTGCACTCCTAATAGAAATAACCTAGTGAAGATCTGTAAATAAGACCAACATCCCCACGTCATCGCGATATGGAAAAAGTAACACAAAATGAGTCTCCTGAGTCCTGAAAGAACTGAGAATCACGGAAAGCAGGTTGGAGGTGGGGAGAGCAGTATGCTTCTTCGTGCCACTAGGGGGCGCGCTGGCTTTTCCAATGTGGTCACTTCCAGAGACGCAGCGTTTTTTGTCTTTGAGGTCCTGTCATTCTTTGTATAAACAAGTTACGTTCAAGTGTTTAGGATATAAATTACGACCATGCCGGCAGCCTCGGAAGGAATGTAAACACAGCACTGTGGTCGGAGCAAACTCTGAAACTGACTTCATAATTTATAGCAGGCCTTGGGTAGCTCAGTATAAAGGGAGAAAAAAGACCTATTTAACTGCAAATATGATAATGGAGACACAAAAAACTTTAAATCACTGCTAAATTTTGGGAAATACAGGGGGAAAAGCATAAAGATTAGAAAGATAGTGAAAACTTTTTAAGAAAAGAGGTTTGACTAGGGAGAAGTCTTTGGACTGAAATTCACTTGGAATACAAAAACCTGTGTGTGAGACATCTACTGGGTGGTATTAGTGCCTGGTAATTGGTTGGGAGAGACCTTTCAGGGAACGAGTAACAAAGGAGAGTTTTCAAAAGCGAAAGCAAAAACAAAACAAAAACCTACCCCGGAGCTGGAGAAGAAAACCAAAGCGTGATTTTGAGAGAGAACCTCTACTCCCGAGATCTAGGTTGCCACTGCCGCTGTTGAGTTTGAAGTGCTGCTGAGACAAGGCTGGGCTAGGTAAGAACAAGTCCTCCTGCATCGTGGGCCTATATTCTCTGTCATTCATAGCTTCACCAACTCCTTGCCCTTAGCATTCATGATTGGGAACTCTTGGGAGGCTGATCAAGAAAAGAACCAGAGCTGTGAGGGGATCCCTGAGGGAAAGCATCAAAACTCTCATGAAAAGGAAGGAGGGAGTATAGGGCACAAAGAAGAGAAATGTGGGGGTTAGAGGGTGCCAAAGCTAAGCAGGGAGAGCCAGGCTCTGAACTGGAGGGTGGGGACAGAGGGCAGGCACAGAACATCTTGTGAGGGCCAGGTTCTGTTATCTCCAAGAAAGGTAAGGAAACCAGGACAGATGCTAGAGACTGCCCACTGCTGCTCCTGGAGGCTTCCCTCCCCCCTGCTCCCCACCCCCATCACCTATTAACAAAATGTGATCGGCATCCATACAAGCTTTGGTCTTGCAAAGGGGAAGCAGGTATTGTTTTTTGGCACCTAATCCTCACTGGCTGCTCAGTCTGGCCTGTCACTCCATGCTGGTGGGTAAGAGGAAAGAGCAAAAGGCAAAACTTTCCTTGAGCTCAAGAAAGAGAACAAAAGGGGCACTTCATTTCTTCAAATCAAACAAACTCTTGCCTTTCATTATCTTGCCTGGGTTTCCTTTAAGTTCCTTTCACCTTCTGGTTTTTGTTTAGCCAGAAAGAGTTAGGGTGAAGGAAAAAAGGAAATAACAGAAAACGTTCCTTCTTCTCTTTCTCTTCTGAGAAGACCAACAATCAGAACCTGGCCTGTGTTACTCACAGCACAGACTTCACACCATGTCAATTATACAACTTGGAAGGGGGGTGGGAAATGTAGAGTTGCATTGGCTGGGTGGTGGAGACAACCTGGTGATTTCAGGATGCTGCAGAGAAAAATGGGTCCCTAAAACGACTATTTGTTATATACATTTTATTGAAAAAATTTTACATCAAAATAGTTTGGCAAACTGTAAAAGTATACATAAGTGCAAATATATCCTCCTTTTAAAATACAAGCAAAGTGTGAGTATACATGAGATAATAAAAATATCTTTAAAATATGGTGGTAAAAAATAACCTGGTAAAAAAAAGTTGTATTGTCACAATACTGAAAACCACATTCTCAAACTAGACACATTGTTCCTAAATACTTTCTTAATAATGTTCTTTGGCACCTATATCCAAACATAGTGTTTGGAGAAACAGAATTCTCTCCTTAGCTGGGCAACAAGGTGCTGCTTTCTTCAAATCTTGTGTTTAGCACTGCCTTTTTGAAAAGCATATAAATTTTCATAGACAGAAAAACACACAAACAACTCGTCTGCGTTTCTCAGACCCTGATAACTGAAGGCAACGAAGATCCCAGAGTTACATGTTTATGTTTTTCATATGGTAACTTTTTACCATCTCTGCTAAGAAGTTGAGTTCTCAGCTCTCCCCCTCATTGGCGCCTGCACACATTTAGGGCACTACCATGCCAGGGCCTGTCCTTCTACCAATGGAGGACAAGTGTCAGTGAACAATGCTTGCCTGGGGATTCTAAGTGACTGGTGTGCTACTGACTGCTATCGGGTGTACTTTATGTGGTTCCATGTCAGCTCATTCAGCCCAACCCCCACCTCCATGGAGAAAGAGGCCATGGCATGGCCTCCATCCCTCCATTCACATGACACAGGGCTTAATATCCTGACATACACTCTGGTGGTGGTGGTGGTGGTAATATGGCCCACTTGCAGAGGGGTGGAAAGAAGAAATGCCGTTAAAGTTGAGGACGAAATCTTTTCTGTCACACACTGGGGTAGAGTGATGCTGGTATCGAGGCAGTCCCACTGAAAGAAAAAAATAAAAACTCTCTTCAGAAACAAATTTGTCCAGGTGAGGTTGGAGTGTATTATTTTTAAAAATTTAATTTAATTGGTGTCTTATTTTGGCTCAGGATGAAAAGGGATGGGTCTGTTGCTATAAAGCTAGTAGAGAAAACCAGCTCTGGAAGTTTTTCAGAGTTTTAAGTTATAAGTCGTACGACAACTCTGGAATCATGTTTTGTTTCGATGTACCCACAAACACAGAGCGCGTCCCCTCTAAACCAGGTTTTCATGTGCTTGAACTCCCTATCAGTCCTGGGGGCCCAGCCGAACGATTCAATCGCAGGAGGAGCAGGAACACCGGACATCGGGACAATTTGACCCAGGCTCTTGTACGGGGTTCCTGAGCACAGGGCTCCTTCCAGAGCACAAGCCCTCCACCCCAGAAACACCACTGTCGCCCTCACATCTTGTTTCTCAACTAACTAGCTCCGTCAGATTAGTAGGCCGCAGCAGGGATATTTCCTGTGCCTAAAAGGGGGACAGAAAACAATCCCAGCGCTCAAGACAGGCCCAAGAAAGAAAGCGCGGTATTCATAGGTCCGGAACGTCTGGAGCTTCCTCTGGAAAAGCCAGGACTCCAGGGAGCAGAGAACGCCCTTGGGTAAGAGCTCAGCTGCAGACCCATCCGCACATCCAGGCGTCTGCCAGCGTGGGGAGCCTCTCAGAGAGGAGGGAGAAGCCCGCAGCCCTCTTCCCCGGGTCGCTCCTAGGCCGAGAGGAAGCCTGAGCCAGGCAGCCACTGCGGACCCACCAGCCAGCCCTTTGCTGTCGCGGCGCCTGCGAGTCCCGAGGCACAATCGGCCAGGGGTGTGTGGCAAGCGCCGCGTCTCCCGGACCGCAACTCTCTCGGTGTCGGACTGGGTTAGGCCTGCTGGCCTGCTAGTCATCCGTGTGGTGTGGGAACCATAAGTTGTACATTGGTGCTGGGTCTGATTAAGTGTTTGAATGCGTGAAAACCATACCTGTCACCCGCGGCGCGTGTGTCCTGCTCGCTTCGCCTCGGCCTGGCTGCATCCCAGCTCTAACGAAGACACCGGGCTGCCAAGTAGCCGGTGACTGGGTCTACGCTTATTGCCTGATAACACCTAATGTTGCCAAACGTGAGTTGCGGTGCTCTCTTAAAGCAGCAACTGGTCCACGCGTTCCCGATGTGCCCCTGTGGCTCTGCACACAGGTGCACTCGGCCAGCAAACTACAGTACACATCGCGGTGCCAGTTTATGGATCTCCAAGTAGCAGGCCCAGCAGGACTCCGAACTAACGCTCACAAAGGCTCACAAAGTCGGCGCTCTCAGCGACCCGAAGGACGATAAAAACTCTGTTTTTTTTGTTTTTTTGTTTTTGTTTTTTGAAAGGCTCGCAAGATTTAAAGAAGGGCCTCTCTGAGCACACGGGACTAAGCTGCCCTGTCCCGAGTGGGAGGGTGCAGCCTTCGTGCATATGCTGAGGGAGGGGGTCATGCTATGCGTGTGTATGGACACTCAAGCGCTGGGGGTGAGGGTACTCCCCTGCCCACGGCCTCAGATCTTGACCTCCCCGCTCCTCCCTGAGCCCTTGACTCCCAGGAGGCTGTGGTCCCCGGAGGGTGGCATATTCCGAACCAGGCCCTGCAGGGCGCAGCGCACTTGGTCCGCTGAGAGATACCAACAAAGGGCTGGGGTACGGGGTAATATTCAAGAGGTACTGGAGCCAGGGGACCAGAGAGTGAGGTGCAGAGCACCCTTCTCAGGCTTGGGCCGAGGCACGGCCTCCCTGTCGTTCCCAGATTAGGCCCAGAGGTCGTGAGAAGCTCCCAAGGAAGGCCGCCGCTGAGGCCTGCCTGCTATGTTCTCTCCAAGGCAGAGTCGTGTTTCCTGATCCCCGCATTTCTGGGGCTTTTAAGCGCGCCCTGTGTGTGGAGTGGGGAGAGGGCAGCCACACGGAAGGTCCTTAGTGTCTTTCCTGAGTGTTTTCTTTCTTTTTTAATTTTAGAATACTCATTCACAGCGGCTGCAAACCTTTAGAGCCTGGGTTCAGGTTGAGTAGGGCCTGCGGTGATGGGGGTGCGGTGAGGACTGCCTGTGGAGCCAGGAGAGCAGCGGGTGGGCGGGTGAGTTGACCAGTGGGCTCCGCCAAGGGTGGGCGGTGAGTGACAGCCAGTCCTCGAGGATAAAAAATATAAGAGGGGAGGGTTGCCTGTATTGGTTACTTGTAGAAATTCCCATAAAATTGAACAAGACTCTGCTTTCAGAGACTTAAGTCAGGCTAAAATCCTCTCCGGTGTGGTCCTGCCGAGACTGTCTTTGTTTAGTTAACCCCTGAGACCCGCATTTAAAAGGCCTATTTGGGAAATTTTACCATGCAGGGAACCAACGTCTTTTGCTCATTTCTGGGTTTCCCTTCACCCCTGATGCTCTTGTGGTACACCAATTCGCAAACATAAAATATATGCATTATCCTGCGAATCATTTCTAATAGAAGGGGAAGGCAATGTAAGTGAGAGCACCATTTGACGGAAAGACATGCCAGATATTAATATGTGGCTATGGGTGCCCCAGGGGAGGTTAATATAAGAAAGTTTATCTCCCCTTTCTTGATAAATCTGGTTAAATATTGAAAGTTCTCCTCCACTCTGTCTCCTCCCACGATAGATTTGGCAAGTCAATAAATTTTCACTATCCTTCAGCAACACAAGTGTTGTCTGAGGGGCGGACATTTCTCGAGGGAGTCATAGTATGGACCTCAGGTCCTGCTGGCCTAAGACAGACTTAAGTGTCATCAGGTGGGTCATTGTGTGGGGAGGAAGGAGACTCAACTGCCTGTGAAAGATCCCAGCACCCCACTCTGCTTTCCTCTCTTTCCCTCCCTCACTTCCCCGTGTCTCAACATCAGCTCAGTTGCAACCTCTCCCCACCCACACCCCCAGCATGCAGAACTTGTCTTTCTGACACTCACTTTTGGACAAAAAATACAGCAAAACAAACTTTACAAAAGGCAAAAGGAAACAGACAGAACTCCTTGGCCAAGGCCCTCAAAGGCTACATGCCTTCTCTCTAAGCTAAGCCAGGCCCGAGAGTTGAGATCTCCAGTCCCTAGGGACACCCAGATACCCCAGGCTGTCAACTTTGCACCATCTTCCTAGGAATGCAAATTCTAGAGGCCCACCTCTGGGCCAAGGGTATGGGGGAGAAAGGTAAGACCACATTCCTCTCCCCTCCTTGAATAAGGTGCAGCTCCCCCCAGCATCAGCTTCTCTCAATGCCTTCAGACCCCCAGGCTGAGGCGACCCGTTGCAATTTGCAGTAGCCAGGGAACCTGGAATCCTAGAGGCAACGCCCCCAGCGGGCTTGGTGCGTTACCTGACAGCTCCTCGCGGGCGTTCTGGTGCAGGTAGCTCTGCTCCAGCGAGTAGGAGGACATGCTGGAGTGCAGGCCTGCCGAGGCCGCGGGGTTGCTGCTAGCCGTCAGGGTGGCAGGCTGCTTGAGGTAAGGCGAGGCGCCAGGCGAGCTCCAGTGCGTTCCGGGGCTCGTGTAGGGAGAGTGGCACTCGATGGCGCTCGCCAGGGCAGGGGATGAAGGCACGGGGCTGCTGCTGCTGTCCGGACCGTAATCCCCACCGCCGCCGCCGCCCCCAGCCGTGCCTACACCCCCAGGCCCGGCGGGCACGGGGCAGCTGGCCATGTAGGTGGAGCCCGGGTTGGGCGACATGTGCGGGACGTGGTGGTGGTGGTGGTGGTGGTGTGGATGTGCGTGTCCCGGGGTGCCTGCGCCAGCGTCGTAGCCCGCGGGCATCATGTCAAGGCCGCCGTAACCGCCCTGCCCGTGGCAGCCCAGCGGCGCTGACGGCGGTGCCTGGAAGTCGAAACTCTGGGGCAGCAGCGAGGCCCCGAAGCCCAAGCCACTAACCACGCGGTGGTACATGGGCTTGAGCGCCTGGCACTTCCGCCTGAAGCCGCGCGGCCGGCGGCGGAACGAACCCTCCTCAAACATGAACTCACTGGCGGGGTCGATGGTCCAGTAGTGACCCTTGCCGGGCCGCCCAAGGCCCTTGGGCAACTTGATGAAGCACTCGTTGAGCGAGAGGTTGTGGCGCACGGAGTTCTTCCAGCCCTGGTAGGCGCCGCGGAAGAAGGGGAAGCGCGCCTGCAGGAACTGGTAGATCTCGCTGAGCGTGAGACGCTTGCTGGGCGAGCTCTGGATGGCCATGACGATGAGCGCGATGTACGAGTAGGGGGGCTTCTCCGGCCGCCGCAGCCCGGAGCTCGCCTTCTTGGCGCCCCCGCTCCCGGCGCCCGCGCCGCCCGCACTCTTGCAGGCAGCGGACGCGCTGGCCGGATTGGAGGAGGAGGAGGAGGAGGCAGAAGAGGAGGAGGAGGAGGCGCAGGAGGCGGACGACGACGACGACGACGAGGTGGTCTCCAGGGTGGCGGCGGCGGACGACGGGCTCATCAGAGCGGCCTGGAGCGCGCCGGGGGCCGGGCTGCACGCGCTGCGGAGCGGGGCCGGCGGTGGGCGCGGTGGCGGCCCGCCCTCGGTGGTCATCTGGGACACGGGAGAGAGGCCGGGCCGCGGGGGCGGGCCCGGCGCCGGGAGCGGAGGCGCTGGAACGGGGTTGGCCCAGAAGCGCGGCGAGCGCCCTAGCCCGCCACCGGGGCTGTAGCCGTGGCCACTCCGAGCCAGCGCTTCGGCGTCGCCTCCCTCAGCTCAGCTGGAGCTTCTGGCGGCGGCGGCGGCGGGGAGGAGACAACGCCCCGCGCATCACTCCCCTGACCCTCGAGTCCCTGCCTTGCGAAACGGCCTCCGGGGCTGCGGAGCCGAAGCGGCTGCGCACCCGGCAGCCGCGCCGACGAACGGGGAAGGCGGCCGGGACCCGGGGGACGAGCCCGATGTCTCCCTTCAGGAGCGCTCCTTGCTCTGTCTCTCAGACTTCCTCCCGCCCGCCGCTCCCCCCGGCCGCCCTCCCTCCCTCCCTCCCTCCCTCCCTTCCTCCCTCCACCCCTACCCCGCCTTGTCCCCTCCTCGCGCCGCCGCCTCGGGGAGGGCACGCTCCGCCTAGGCGCTCAACCTCACCCCCCCAACCCCAACCTGGCGGCAGAGTCCCTCTCTTATCTCTTTCCTCCCTCTACAGGGTTCCCTTCGGTCTTTTAATTCCTCTCTCGGCCTTTTTCCTCTTTCTCACCCACCCTCTTTAAAAGGAAGAGATCACAGACTAATCCCTTTTTTGTTAGGATGACCCCCACCCCAAGCAAAACCGACCACCTATGGCTTTATAAAAACTTTCTCTCTGCCCCTTACAGAACCCCTGCCTCTTATCCCAGACACCAACCGACCCCAGTAGAGCGGACCTACCCCTCCTCTCCTTCCTTCTCCCTCCTCTCTAGCCCTTCCTCCCCCACTCCTCCCCTCCCCCTCCCCCTCCCCCTCCCCCTCCCCCTCCCCCTTCCCGCTCCCGCTCCTCCTCCTCGCCCATCCTGGGCCTAGTGGTGCTGCCGCTGGTGCCTCCGCCGCCGCCAGGAGCCTCCTTAGCTGCCTTACCCTGGGTGCCCGCACTGACACCATCTGTCAACTTCATTTAGACATTGCAGCCCTCAGCACTTCAGGGTGCCAGACGCCCAAAGGTAACGTGCCAGTCTCCTCTCTTTCTGACAGGGCTTGCAGGCCTCACAACGATTGTTAGTAGAGGGTGAGAAGCCAGGGCACCCTAGCGCCCCAGGGTTATGTCCTGGGGCGGTCATTGGCATTTGCTGAACTTGGAGAAGAGGGGTTTAGAAAGAGAAAACTAAACCAAGTTTCAGAGAATCAGAGAATCTGGTCGAAGATTAGGACTCACTTTGCGTTTGTTTCCACTTCCTTTCCATTTTCCACTTGACGTTTTATAAAAAATGGAAAAAGAAAACGGGTGCTGAGTGAGATAAGTAAGATAGCTGTATTTATGTTCAATCCTGAAAGTATGTGTTACTGTCACTCACATCCTTAGTCTTAATGTTGCCCACCAAAAGAATTGTGCATCGGAAAGTTACCTTGTGTGGCAGAATACTCCACGTCAATGTGGCTAATTCCTCTCTGAGTCAGAGTCTGGCTGGGAGAGAAGTTGTGCCCTCAGGAGGAATTACTTCCAGTAAGACTGGACAGTTAGTTATTGTATTGCACGTGCAAGGAAATGTAGTCTCACTAGAAACAGGGGCTGGAAGTGGGAGGTGGAGAGCAAGAGGCCTGGGAGCTGACAGGGCCATGGGGGAGGCCCCGGGGGAGGTGCTGCAGACCTGAGGACCTCAAATGGGAGGCAGTGCTGGGCACACTTCTGTGTCTACTCTGAAAGGATCAAGGTGCAAGTATAAGTGCTGGGAAACCTGGAGAGATGGTGGGGTGGGCAAGACAAGGGGAGACTGTGCTGAGATCCTGTGAAAGGTGGGCAGCAAAGAGCCTTGGGTGGAACAGAACCAAGTCAGGCCTCTTGGGGCCAGCATTAGTGGTCTGTGCCCCTAGAGTACCTGGGGGAATGCTCCTGGCTGAGTGTGCTGGTGGGACTGTAGAAGCAGAGGAGAGGGAAGTTTGGGAGGGGAAGATTGGGGGATGGGCTGGGTCTGGCCCCAGACAGTGACCTGAAGTTGAGTGGAAGCAGGCTTTTTCCATCAAACCCTGCCTGGATACCACACACAGAGACTGAGTGTCAGTTTACTGCCTTGAGCCGGGCTCCTTTTCCCTAAGCTCCACAGTAATTAGACAAAGAAAACCTAAATTAGTTGAACAGGCGTCGACAGCTTCCTCCAGAGCACCCCTGGTACCTACATGGGAATGTGTCCGAAAATGGCTTGATTGTAGCCGAGAGTCAGCTAAGAAAACACGGCCAGAATGAACTCAGTTTACCGCCCATTTCCAATAGAAAAAAGAAACAAGTCGTTCTTTTCCGGATGGGATGTTTTGGTTGAGTTGGGGGTGGGGGGGTTGCAGTGGTTTTCACTTCTAAGAATTTCTGAGTGACTTGTGAGCATTTTTTTTAAAGGTGGGGGAATGGGTCTCTATTTATTTCATAGTAGTTTTCTCTTATCCCCTTTTTGTCACTTTGCATGGAATAATTTAAGTATAAGTAACTAAATATAAAAATAAATATAGCATGTTCACTAAATTAATGCTGTAGATGTCTAAAACGTAAAATAGAAAGTGGAGTGAGTACTGATAGTATCTAAAAGGAGCTCCATTCTGTTTGTGTGTGTGTGTGTGTGTGTTGGGAAGAGAACTGGCCCAGCTAAGAAGCATGGAAAGAAAGAAGGCCACCATTTCATTCGTAGAGGAGGGGCAATAGATTATGAGAAAATTCAGGAAGTGAATGTCACTATCACTAGACCCTCCCTAATTTTCTGCACCTGGGGGATTCTATGTACATTGGATTTCAGGCCCGAAAAGGTTTTAGGACTCAGAGACTGAAGAATAAAGAGCACCAATCTTAAAATGCAGGCAGGGCTAGGAATATTCTATACCAGTAGTTCCCAGTTTGGGTGTTACAAGTGTTTTTGAGAATATAATGGAAGTTTTGGAATATTCCCTCAGAATATTCCCATTTTTGCCTGTGGTATTGGGAGGGGGGTCCACAGATACTCTAAAAAAAAAACCCCTACTCTACATATTGTTAGCTTCTACAATTCTGCTGGTTAAATTATCAAGGGTTTTAACGGTTTCCTTCCCCATCCAAGTGACAGTGGTATCCATTTTATACAAATTGTCTAAACTTGAAAGAAATACCATTGATAGTTTGATGACTGTTACAAGAGGCTAGACAAGTCCTGGAAGGGCAGTAGACATTGGAGAGCGGTGAGAGCCCCAGCCAGGAGCAGGTCAGCTGACTTGGAGCCTTTCCCTTTCTCCCTCTCTCCCTCTCTCTCTCACTCTCTCTCTCTCAGTATTGCCCTCCACTCCAGAAAGATAAAAAGGTTGATGACCTTCTGAGCATGAAGGGATTCTTTGCCAAAACTCTTTCTTGGGGATACCACTTCTACCTATGGAAACTGTGCCTCTGGCAGAGACTCCCATGTCTACAAAAATAAATCTTGGCATTTGTTCCTCACAGACTGCACTGGGTACCTTCACATGATTGTTATCTGCGCCCCCCCCCCCAGCCTTAGAGGTAAGGAAACTGTGTCTTAGAAAGCCCAGATGATTCCCTGAAAGTCACACCTGAGCAAGCCACAAAGCTAACCAATACCCTATACCGCAGGCCTGAGGTCCCGCTCCCATTCTGCTTCCACTATATGGTATTACGACCTCTCTGAACTTTGTTTTAATTACCGATTTATACAAACCTCCTGGGTAAGAATGCATGCCATAATAAATTATGTCAAATTCTTTATCCCTGGCAAGGATATCTGAATTTCTGTTTAACATATGGTTTAAAAGGGAAGTTGTGTTTGTCTCTGAAACAGAGACAAACCATCCTTAGGGCGCTTCCCTTTCTCAGAGTCCCTTCTTCTGGTGGTGAGATCTTCCGGACTGACTTTAAATGCTTCACAAATAACAAAAAACTTGATCTCTTTTCCTTACGTGAAGTAAAGGTATGGCTCGTTAAAATGAGTACAGATCAGCCCAGCCGCTCCTTGGTTAACCAGAAACACACAGCCTCGGTCGGTGCAGCCGGTCCCCTCTCCAAACCGGTGCTCTACCCTCCCCTCGTCCCCCTCCTCCTCTTTGGTGATTGTCCCCGTCTGGGCTGTAGGTTCCCCGCCAGCTCCAAACCCCAAAGCCCCGCCCATGCTCCAGCGCAGGGGAGTATAAACTTCGGGAAGTTTGGATTTGTCCGATTTTGTTCTGCAATCAGCGTTTTATTCTAGGAAATCTCGTCATTATTGCGGTTTAAATTTTGTGTTCTTAGCATGCTTCCTCTGCTTCGTGGGTTTTACATGAAAGGGCTTAGACTAAACCAGTAACCCACAGGAGATGCATCCGCACCAAAGCTGTTTACTGCATCTAAGACCTCGCCTCCTCAGGGCACTTCTCCATCTTCTTGTCCCTCCCTTCCTTCTATCAGCCCCGCTGGAGAAAAAGCGTCCTCCCAACTCAGTTTGAAAGTATTCTATTCACCCTGCGTTTTGATACAAAGTTAATGTGTGTAGAGAATTCTCTAACTCGTGAGAGGATTTCCTACATGGGGATCTTGGAAACTCTGTGCTGAGGTCTAGGGGGTGTCAGCATGTTTGAGGAAACCAAGGAGGACCACGAGCCTGCGCACCACAGAATCCCCTCTAGAAAGTTTAATTTGCGATAGAAAATCCGGCCAGAGGGCCAGGAAGAGGCTCCGAGGCTGGAGTTTGAGAGGGGAACTAGGCGAGGAGGGATGACTGTGAATTCTATATCCTCAGCGTCTGTTCTCCTTCCTCGGTACAGAAACCCAGACCTCCGGGTATGAACGAACATCAGCCACCCAATTCTAAATGTTTATTTGGGTAGATTCTTCCACTTTTCAAATGCCCGTGTCCTGGGCAGGGCTCTTTTTTCACAGGCTGCGAATTCTGCCGATAGCCCCAGATCTCCTGCGCCTGGAGTGAGTATGA